TATTATCTAAATTTATACATAATATAATATAGAAATATGTTATATTATAAATAGAAATATATAAATGCATTTATACCAGAGGGCCATTCAAAAATCTCATTTATTATGGGGATTTACATGCCAACGGTACAATTAACTTCTGTAAAGCACATTGCTGTTTAGAAAACACGTAAGCAATGTCATGTAGAGATTGAGAGCATGGTCCTTGAACTGAATTTGAATCCCACCTCCGCTTACCCACTGAGCCCTTTCCTACCTCATGGAATTGTTATGAGGATCAGATGAGACAACTGTAAAGCTCCTAGCATAGTGATTCAGATTATTTTATATTATTTGATCTTTTGAGTCCAGGAGTTTTGGCATAAGCCATAATTTCCAATTCTTCAAATAGCAGGTAGTATTAGAACTTTTCAAACCACTTTTTGTATGGAATAATATTCTGAAATGGGAATTGGAGACAAAACGGAATCACTGATTTATCCAAATATTTAAAAAGCACTTTTTTTCCATGAATATGAGATGCATACTCATCTCATCTCACCTGTTTTGCAGGCGCTCGAGGACTGTGCCCAGGAGCAGGTGCGGCTCAGAGCCCAGGTGCGCCTGCTTGAGACCCGGGTCAAACAGCAACAGGTCAAGATCAAGCAGCTTTTGCAGGAGAATGAAGTCCAGTTTCTTGATAAAGGAGAGGAGAATAGTGTCATTGATCTTGGAAGCAAGAGGCAGTATGCAGGTCAGAATGGACTTTTCTTAAGTGTTTCAATAAATTACATTACACACCCGTATGCAATGATGGTGCTAGTTATTTGTTTGCTTCAGGTTTTGCTAAAAAGCTTTTCCTATTTCAGTAACAAGCAATATGAAGCATTATATCAATTTTAAATGTCTTCTTTCACACACTACTTTTTTCTATCTCTGCAGGGGCATTTAATGTGAACGTTAAATATCTGAGAATTTATATTATTTGATAAGAAATCAGGACAATAGATTGAATACTGATGTACATGGCCAGGCACGGTGGCTCACACCTGTAATCCCAGCACTTTCGGAGGCCTAGGTGGGCAGATTACAAGGTCAGCAAATCCAGACCAGCCTGGCCAATATGGTGAAACCCTGTCTCTTATACACATCTAGATGTGTATAAGAGACAGCGGTGGCTCACGCCTGTAATCCCAGCACTTTGGGAGGCCGAGGCGGGCGGATCACGAGGTCAGGAGATCGAGACTATCTTGCCTAACACGGTGAAACCCCGTCTCTACTGAAAATACCAAAAAATTAGCCGGGCGCGGCGGCGGCGCCTGTAGTCCCAGGTACTCCGGCGGCTGAGGCAGGAGAATGGCGCGAACCCGGAAGGCGGAGCTTGCAGTGAGCCGAGATGGCACCATGCACTCCAGCCTGGGCGACAAAGCGAGACTGTCTCAAAAAAAAAAAACAAACTCCCTTTTTCTCTACCAACATCCTTATCTCCCTCTGCTCAGACTCTTCGCCTTGGGCTCCTGCTTCTCTGTTGACCAGCATCTTGATCCAACTGCCCTACCTCTGGCCCTTAGAGATCAGAAAGAGGCCAGAGTCACTGGTCTGCAGTAGTGGGGATGGCTATAGCATGAACATGGCCTGTGCCTCTGGAGCCAAGAGGAACCAGGGATAGTTCGGGTAAAAATGGACTTGGGAAGCAAACGGACTATCATTCAACGGATGAGCATACAGATTAAGGGATCCCAAAAGTGCCTACAAAGCTGGTCTCAAGGGCAAGGAACTGGTAGATGCAAGTAGAGCACCATTATTCCAAATGTCAAACCATTCCCAAGACTCAGAGTGTCTATTCGAATACATTCTGAGCAGGTTGTTGACACGGACTCAAGGGCCAATCACGGCAGGAGACAGCTAATCAGGAGGCAGCTCATCGGATATTTCTTCCCAGGCCTCTACAACCAGTCACGGGAAGACTGAGGCTTAAGTGCTGTGTTAGTCCGTTCTCATACTGCCATAACGAAATACCTGAGGCTGGGTCATTCATAAAGACAAGAGGTCTGATTGACTCCTGGTTCTGCAGGCTGTAAAAGAAGCATAGCAGCATCTGCTTCTGGAGAGGCCTCAGGGAACTTACAAACACGGCAGAAGGCAAAGCAGAAGCAGGTACATCTTATGTGGTAGGAGCGGAAGAAAGAGAGAGAGGGAGGAGGTGCCACACTTTTTCAAACAACCAGATCTCATGAGAACTCACTCACTGTACGGTACCAAGGGGGATGGTGCTAAACTATTCATGAGAACTCCACCCCCATGAGCCAATCGCCTCCCGCCAGGCCTTCCCTTCAACACTGGGAATTACAACTCCACATGAGATTTGGTGGGGACACACATCCAAATCATATCAAGAGCTGAAAATCCAGTCCTTGTGTTGACACTGCTGGGGAGCAGATTTGGGAAGCAAGGGGTCACCAAGGAATAAGGCAAGAAATCAGGTACTTGGAAATTACAATGCCAAGGTCAGAAGCATTAACTGTACAAGCAGGAGTTAGAAGAGTCATACAGAGATGGTTCAGATAAAGCATTATAATTATTATAAATATAAGACTGTTATAATAAGACAGATGATAGGAATTCTAGATGACTGTTTTTTGATATAAAAGCCAAAAAAATCAGAATTTCAGTAGATTAACAATATTCTTCATATATTAAGCATGAAGGAGAAAAAGGGTGACTAAAATATGAAATATAAATATAGTTCAGTTGTTCCTTATTTTTAACACATAGGCAAATAGTACTAGAGAGCCTACTAACAACAGATAATAAACAAAATATATAACATAAAAATTGCAACAAAATATAATGTAATACATATTATATTATATAAAATATATAAGAACTTGCTCACATCAAAGTTTATGTTTTTGGTGTCCTTAAATTTAAAACAATTAAATATTCATATATATAATCTGTAGAAATATAAATTTTTTGTTCTGAGTTACAAGTTGCTTTATTATTACTAAATTAGTTATTTTCTGAATTCCAATTTATCTGATGGTTGAAAACACCCAATTACACACAACCTAGCAATTTGTGCAAACAATGCCCACACCACATGGTTTTATACAGCATATCATTAAACTGTATCTTTTTTTTTTTTTTTGAAACAGAGTCTCACTCTGTCACCCAGGCTAGAATGCAGTGGCCGAATCTCAGCTCACTGCAAGCTCCGCCTCTCGGGTTCACGCCATTCTCCTGCCTCAGCCTCCCGAGTAGCTGGGACTACAGGCGCCCGCCACCACGCCCAGCTAATTTTTTTGTATTTTTTAGTAGAGACGGGGTTTCACCGTGTTAGCCAGGATGGTCTTGATCTCTTGACCTCGTGATCCGCCCGTCTTGGCCTCCCAAAGTGCTGGGATTACAGGCTTGAGCCACTGCGCCTGGTCTAAACTATCTTTTTTTAAGCATGTGGATGCTAGTGAATTATGAATTCAAAGGTTACTGTATCAATTTCATATTAACTGGTGGCAATCACAAAAATCTGACATCACCACCACTGTTCAGTTGACAAGAGCACTGCTCCACCATCTCCGCTTCTGCAGGAACCCCCACTCTGCATGAGTGTCTTCAGGCGGGATACAAAGTGGCCTAAGGTGTTGACTCTGAAGCTCAATTTCAAAGTCCACCTGCAAATCTTGCTAGCTGCAGCCTTTGGGCAAATTACATTACCTCTGTGTTTCCCGTATTCCCCATCTGGAGAATGGGAATGATAAGAATGCTGTGTATTTGTTGTGAGGATTAAAATATATTAAAATTAGTAAATGTATTTTGCCCAGGTGCCATGAATCATGCCTGTAATCCCCGCACTTTGGGAGGCCAAGGTGGGAGGAACACTTGAAGCCAAGATTTCAAGAACAGCCTGGGCAACAGAGCGAGACCCTAATACTACAAAGAACAACAACAAATTGCCAGGCTCGGTGGTGCATGCTTGCAGGTCCAGCTACAGGAGGCTGAGGCAGGAGGATTGCAGGAGGAGTTTGGGGCTGCAGTGAGCTATGATTGCGCCACTCACAATCACTCTGTTACAGCCTGGGTAACAGTGAGACCCTGTCTCTCAAATAAGTTAATTAATTAAATTAAATGAGTTAATATATTTAACACAGTAGAGCAAAAGAAGTACTCAATGAATGCCAGCTATCTATGGACATTATTATATCCTTGTTTTCAAGGGAGAGAGCCCACTCACTCTACCCTACAAGAGTATTGCATTCTGTCAATGTGCAATTAACTTAATTGCACATTTAAAAATAACAAAGAGAGCAAAACTGAATTGTTTGTAACACAAAGGATAAATGCTTGAGGGGATAGATACCTCATTTTCCATGATGTGATGATGATGTATTGCATGCCTGTATCAAAATATCACATGTACCCCAATAAATACATACACCTACTATGTACCCACCTTCCTTTAGCCTTTTATTTTTTTCCTTATGTTGCCTAGAGGTGAGGATGGTGGTAGCAGGGCCAGTTCTGGCATATCCCGGCATGCTCTGGGGAGTGGCAGCTGACCTCTTTTTGTGTTTAGAATGTGGGGTACTTCGTGCCTTTGGTTCTCAGTGTTGAGCCTCAGCCACCATCCTGAGACAACAGGAAAAAGCCCATTTGGCAGGCTGTCATGTCACTTTATGAGCTTAAACATTCAGCCTTCCAACATAGCTTGCTTTCTGCATGATCAGAGAAAGGAGGCATATCACCCAGTTTAATACAGTGTTCGTCAAAACAGAAGGCAGGACGCCTTGGCCTCACTCTAATATTATGTAAATATTCAAAATTCTTTTCCTTAAAAAAAAAAAAAAACTCCCATGAACACAAAGCTCTTTAACCTTGTTTTTCCTCTACCGATTCTACAGGGAGTTGAATGGATCCGAACATTTTGAAAATCACCATTTTAAATATCAAGTTAATATCTTAAATTCTACATTTTTCAAACTTTCTGCTGTTACAGTTTAAGTCACATTTCCCGAAGCAGGCTTCTTAACCTGTTAGCTATAAGCAAATTGAACTACTGGTGCTTTTTTGCTTTTTTAATGTTTATTTACTTGTTGGGGGTTTTGTTGTTGTGTTACTGTTTTTATCAGTCGAAAGCTTTTCTTAAATTGTGTTTGGCATTTTCTTCTGGGAAGAAAGAAAATTTTAAAAACAAGACCAAAAAAATAACAAACTCGCAGTTAGCATAAAATAATAACAAGCAGAAAATGTTGGCTGAAACCTCTATATTCACTAAGTTTTCCAGAGGCAAATGTTATAGCTAATCACTTCCATATTTGCCTGGAAAAGAGTTTGACCTTTGTGAGTCTTTAGTATTCAGCTCTTCGGTAGGAAATTAAATGTAAGCAAAAAGCTTCTTTCCAAACAGGGCTAAAATCTGCTTACTTTAATAAAAGTGTTGTGGTATACACTTGACTACATGATGTAAACCTTATAACAGCATTGAACTAATTTTAGATAGTCATTTTCTCATTGTTTTGCTTCTTGTTTAATCGCCAAAACAGGATCCTTTTTGTAATTTAGCATGTATTTGAACACTTGTGCCTCTGAATGTTGAAAATAAATATATGAATAAAGTCTAAATCATTACAAAGGTAAACATCTCACCAAAGCAGTAGTATATGATCAGTCCCAGCCATGTGAAGGCTTTATGAAATGACCAAGGTTCTTTCTTCTTCTGATTTCTATGGCCTATTCAACCTACTTAATGTGCAATATAGTTTATCTGTAACAAAATGAGAGAGTTATACATTTGGCAACTTAGTATCAAAACAATGAACATGAAAAAGAACTTTAAAATATACTACAAGAATGGAATTATCCAATCAGAAAAAAAATTTTTAAAAAGGAAATTCACAAAGCGACAGGAGTAAAAGTGTAAGTTGATGATGTCATAATATTTTTATTGAAATGTTTGTAGATGGCTCTTCTTAAGACTATCTGTTTATAGTGCCCACTACTTCATTCATCCTAAAAGACAGTTTGCTATGCATCTAAACAATAGAGAGGTCTCTATTTGCCACATTCTCTAAGTCTGTACAGATCAACCTAGGTGAGACCCAATGGGTATTAATTTACATCACCCTCAGGTGGCTTAAGAAACAGGTATCACCTTTTGGCAGGGTGTGGTGGCTCACACCTGTAATCCTATCACTTTGGGAGGCCGAGGTGGGCGGATTGCCTGACCTCAGGAGTTTGAGACCAGCCTGGCCAACATGGCAAAATCCCATCCCTACTAAAAGTACAAAAAAATTACCTGGGTGTGGAGGCACATGCCTGTAATCCCAGCTACTCGGGAGGCTGAGGCAGGAGAATTGCTTGAACCTGGGAAGCAGAGGTTGTAGTGAGCCGAAATCGCACCCCTGCACTCCAGCCTGGGTGAAAGAGCAAGACTCTGTCTCAAAGGAGGAAAAAAAAAAAAAAAGAAAGAAACAGATATCACTTTTTGGTGACAAAGGGGTAGCATCTTTGCTTCAGTGTTCAAAGAAATACCACAGCAAAAAAGAATTAAGGGATGAAACAAATAGCAGAAGCTTGCCGTTTTTAGCAAAAACATCTAAGAATCTATGGACTTTTAGAAACTTCAGTGAGCTAATAAAAAATCTAATGAGGCTAAGAGGTTATAAGATTTTGAGAAGATTACTATTTCAAGTTCATTTTCAGATGTCCAGCATGATTTCTCATGCTCTAAGTCAAGATAACCTGTAGTAACTTAGTTGTTTGGTGTTAATATTTCTGCTTTCATTTTTAGATTCCGTCTGATAAAGCTGTAAGTTCCACCTAAATATACTGTTGTTAACAGATTACACATAACTTGCTTTTTAACATTGTTTTCTACAAAACTCAGAAATTAGAGACTAGGCCAGGCGTGGTAGCTCACACCTGTAATCCCAGCACTTTGGGAGTCTGTGGTGGAAGAAGAGGATTGCTTGAAGCCAGGAGTTCAAGACCCTGGGCAATATAGAGACACTCCCCATCCTTACCAAAAAAAAAAAGGAAAAGAAAAAAGAAGAAACAAACAAAAAACTAGATTCTTACTTCACTCCCTTTTTTTCCTCCATGATTATATCACAGATTCAGGTGGCAACTAGTAGCCAAGAAAAGAAAACTTTCCTCATATCCACTGGAAGATGTACAAGATGCAATTTTAAAACGCTGATTTCTATACCATGTGTTATCCGTCTCCAGTGATATTGAATAGTCTCATTCAGAGGCTCCGCAAGGGGAAAAAAAGACATATAATGAATATTATATTACCCTGTTTTAAAAACAGATTGTTCAGAGATTTTCAATGATGGATATAAGCTCAGTGGATTTTACAAAATCAAACCTCTCCAGAGCCCAGCAGAATTTGCTGTTTATTGCGACATGTCCGATGGAGGAGGATGGACTGTAATTCAGAGACGATCTGATGGCAGCGAGAACTTTAACAGGTGTGCTCACTATGACATAAGAATTTATTTGTAGCAGCAAATGTGAGATTTATAAGTCAAATATTTTGATCATTTCCTGAAGTCCATTAATAAGACAGAATTTCATTCTCTCTAAACAAGAATACTGAAAATGAATGAACAAATCAAGAAAATATTGGGGGTGGTGGTAGCATGGGGTGGGTGGTGCTCACTTTGGTACCACAAATGGAGTTTGCTAAAATCAGCTTCCACTTTACATTTTTTAGAGGATGGAATGACTATGAAAATGGCTTTGGAAATTTTGTCCAAAAACATGGTGAATATTGGCTGGGCAATAAAAATCTTCACTTCTTGACCACTCAAGGTAAGGTTTGAATGATGTCAAATTTATTTGGAATACAATAAAAACAACACTACAATTTTTTTTTTACCAAATTATAGGCAATGGAACTAATTCAATAATTGCTATGATTTACAGATGGTAGTGATAACTTTTGGGCAATAATCCCAAATGTAAAATGTGGCTGCCTAAAATTAGCAACAGAAAAAAAAACT